TATTATATCTGTGCCAGAACTGTGCATTGATTTAATCAGTTATATGATGATATTAATATGGTAGACGGGCCACTGAGTTTTGCTCTCCTATTGCGTTGGAACAACTAGATAGAGAACACAAACTCGCAAGAGCACGCACGCACACACGCACACGCACACACACATAAATACATAAACAAAACACAGAGACACACGCACACGCACACACACACACACACATTATTTATATACATATATATATATATATATATATTATATATATATATATATATATATATATATATATATATATATAACACGCACACGCACACACACACACACATTATTGATATACATATATATATATATATATATATATATATATATATATATATATATATATATATATATATATATATATATATATAACACGCACACGCACACACACACACATTATTGATATACAAACATATATATATATATATATATATATATATATATATATATATATATATATATATATATATATATATATGTATATATATATATATATATATATATATATATATATATATATATATATATATATATATTATATATATATAACACGCACACGCACACACACACAATGAAACAGATGAAAATTCGCCACGACAAAAGCCAAAAGAAAATCAAACAAGACTCAACATATGATTTACTTGCTTTATTATCCTGGGTTACATTTACATCATCCCTTCACATTCTGTAAAATATGAGTCTCCTTTCACATTCTGTAAAATATGAGTCTCCTTTCACATTCTGTAAAATATGAGTCTCCCTATACCTTGCCATATGCTTTTCAAAATATATACCTTGCATAATTTAGTCGTTTCCACTCGATAATCGCTGGCAAAAAGTGTATATGTAATTAAAAGGAAAGTCAAATAATAAAAAAGGGGAAGAAATGTGTTTGTAAAAAAATATGACAATGAGTTGAATGGATATGAGGTCAGGACTTCAATATATAAAATAACAAAATATATTGCAATATACTGTACTTTACTTTGAAATATAAATTTATTTACTTTTTTTTTTTACCACTAAACAACCTGAAACTGCCAAGTTTATTTACATATATACTGCTATATGTTTGTGTACGTATTTATGCGTGTGTGTGTGTGTGTGTGTGTGTGTGTGTGTGTGTGTGTGTGTGTGTGTGTGTGTGTGTGTGTGTGTGTGTGTGTGTGTGCGTGCGTGTGTGTGCGATGAGTGTATGTGTGCGTGTGTGTGTACGAGTGTGTGCGTGTCCGTGTATTTTGTGTGGGGTGTGTATTTTGTGTGTGTGTGTATTTTGTGTGTGTGTGTATTTTATGTGTGTGTGTATTTTGCGTGTATGTGTATTTTGTGTGTATATGTATTTTGTGTGTATATGTATTTTGTATGTATGTGTGTTTTGTATGTGTATGTGTGTTTTGTGTATGTGCGCGTGTATGGACGTGCATGGGTGTGACAATTAATTCCTTACTCTTCACCTGACTGCAATTTTAGTGACTCTTTATCATTTTTCCCATCACTCAGTTTTTCTAAATCACTAAATCATGTACCACTATTTCTTTACACTGAGGAAGGCAATTAACTTGTAATATTAACCAGCTTCAACAAATAAGGGCTGCCCGGTTACCTGAGGCAAGTGTGGTAGAATAGGGGAGTTGACCAGCTTTTGTGACTAACTAATCTCCCTTAAAAGGTCCTCTGTTGAAGACATCTCAAAAACAATGTGCAAATAAAGCAAGCTCAATTACAGCAATATCAAAACAGCATTTATTAATAACTTTAGAAATTGTTTGACTGAGCCAATTAATCTTGATATATTTTCTATCTACATTCAAATGCATCATTGTCTAAGACATTATTATTCAGTTACTTGAAACTTCGACCCCAGGAATTTTCTTACTGACGCTGACAAACTTCTCAAATATTTGGGTCTAATTTTCATCACCTCAAGCATTACATTATGTAAACATTTATAAGCCTTATATGTGTGGTAACTAAACATATTACGATCTGGATCCACTTAAACAGAATCCACCTTGAATGCATGTTATTTGAAGAGATAATGCAAAGCATATTAAAACTGGTTATTGATACATGCTGAATTATATATTGTAGCATGTAGGTTAAAGATAATTCAAGGAAATTAACTCATGAGCTTACCATGGTACTTGATCTACATGCAAGGGGAATTTTCCTTTTCTGTTGAGTCTTAATTAACAATTAGATGCATTTTTACAGCAAGAATTTCAGAGGAAAATGTCCTTACCAATTCTCCATTATAATGTCAGTTTCTCTTGTCAGATCTGTCTAACAGCAAAACATTTGTGAATAAATAACTAAAACAATCCTTCAAAGAACATGTCTTTGGTAATACATACATATTCTGGAATGATTAGAAAGTAACTTTATTAACAAGGCTAAACTACAGGAATTGAGATAATGTTAGATTCTCTAGTGACTTTGTTCATATAATACTGTTGATTTGAGGAACACCTAAGTCAGTTCTACCTCAGTCAACTAGATCATACAGGCTTGAATAAAATTACAACTCTCTACATAAAGTTAAATATTGCCTTTATGAGTGCTATACAACCTGTGGGTCAGAGTTCTTCACCTCATAAGTCATAATGTGGACGGTTCCATAGTATAATTTTAAGGCCTGTCCAAGTACATGCCATTAGAATATCTTAGAGCCTAAGTCCCAACTTCTTACACTTTATAATACTTAAATAGAGTTAAATCATAGGTCAAACTAGTAATGTTATTAAAGAAATTTACACTTATAACAACAGTAAAGTTTACAACCACACTCAAAAGTGGTACCTGACTTTACTGTTAGTGAAATTTGTAGACATATAACAGGAAGTATGCACACAGTACCAGAAGAATCAGAACATTATATGAGAATATTGAGAAAACAACCGTAGAAAAGTACTAAATTACAAATTACCATATAATTTCTGTTAATACCATACTATTTGGTGTACAAGCACTTCTTTTTGCAAAGAAGAAAAAGAAATGAGACCTTAGATATACCCTTGTAATTTTGCACCCCAGGAAAACTTGTCAGAAAAGGGCTTTGAAAATATGGGAACATCTTATACACACAAAAAATATGGAATATTCTTCTGGGCAATCACACTGATACAGATGACATGTAAAATCACAGACATCCACACAGACATTCAGATCTCACGAAGATGCGTATATTTGCATTCACGAGACTCATATTGCTTTGGAATCAAGATTTGAGAATTAAAACATTTATATCTACTCAATAACTTAACAAGCGATAAATCACAGATAATTAAACAACCATGCTTGAAATACATTACTCTTCATTAGGCAAGTTACTTCAGCACTGAATATTACTATTTCACATACTTGATTTCACATTAATAACAGGAATGTTAAAGTTTACATTATTGGTGACCAACATTTATTTACATAAATAGAATGCTAAATATTTAACCACAAAAGACTAATAAATAGGTGTTCTGATACCACACTTTCACATTTCTAAAGGTTCTTTAATGCGGTAAGTATCACTGATATTGATAATAAAAACTTAAACATTTACAAACTTTACAAAATCAGACCTAACTTTCAATACTTTTTTTTTTATGTACACAGAGATTTTGTCTTCATTTTATTTCTTTAAATATATGAAAACAAACATGACATGATATCCAGTCTATAAGCAAAACAATTGAAATTCCATACTAAAGAAAATAATGGTGATGATCATAAAAATAGTGAAAATAATAATAATAATAATAATAATAATAAGAATAATAATAATGATAATAATAATAATAATAATAATGATAATAAAAAATAACAATAATAATGATAATAAAAAATAACAATAATAATGATAATAATAATGATAAATCAATAATAATTATTATTTTGATAATAATAATAATAATAATAATAATAATAATAATAATAATGATGATAAATCAATAATGATAATTATTATGATGATAATAATAATAATAATAAAAATAATAATAAAACTAATAATAATAATAATAATAATAATAATAATAATAATAACAACAACAACAAAAAAATTAAGTAAAAACAAAGAAAATTACAAAAATCACACCTTTTCCCAATTTCAAAAAAATGCATCAAAAACACAATTCACGCAGTATGTGAATCCCTTTGCTTAACAATATACCTTGGTCCAAAATTGCTGACAGTTACATATTTCACTGGTATCAACTTCACCTTAGTTATAAAGTACAATACAAGACTCAACTTTATTAAAGCTTTTGTCCAATATATAATCACAACTGATAAAATATAATGGAAGGCTTACCTCCAATGACAGGGGTAGGTCAGTTGTAATTATACATTAGCTTAAAGCAAGAGCATTTGTACCAAACTGTATATCTGAAATTTCTTTTTTATAAATATTTGTTCTTATTTATTCAGCCTGGAAATTGAGGTAAATAAATGTAAAAGAAATTTGGTATTTATAAGCTGACAGTACAATTCAACAGTGGTATCGGGAATTTTTTTGAGAAATTACATTATTTTACTGATCTGCAACTGGAATATAAAAGTATTAGAATATCCAACAAAGTTAAGGTATGGTATGTAAATTATTATTGGAAGGATCCGAGACTTCACAAATTGCTAATCAAATGTTATATATATGTAAATAGTGTGTAATGTATAACGAAGCAAATAAAAAGAAAAACATTATCAAAGTTAATGAATCAAAATTGCCCTTTCTTTTTCAGAGTCAAATTATCTAAAATAATCAATATCACCCTAATCAAATATTTTTACCAATCACAATCCATTATGAAGTTTATAAGCCATTAAAAGGTTCGCAGACACCCAAAATGCTATAATTTGATCAAATCATCATTCAGAAATAACCTCGATAACATCCGATACAAAATAATTTATGAAATCAATACCCATACATTTATAATGCAATAGCTATAACGTTCCTTTTTTCTTGATAAAAAAAAAAAAAAAAGTTGGGAGTATTTACAATTGAGCATATAAGGCATGTAAGCAATTTCTTGATGCCAAATATTACTTACGCCAATGATCCTGCCTATTTGCACTGGCCATTGCAATTGTTTTATTAACTTTGTCTACACAATGATGGCTTCATAAGAACTTGTCATTAAGGAGTCAAGTGGTAAGCCTAACTGATCTTGCTCATTAACTTCGAATTTTCCGGAAAAAATTTGAATCATTATCAATATCATGATTGTGATTATAACCCTATTAATACTAATAACAATCATAAATATGAAGACTTTTCTTCCTAAAAATTCCTGGAACGGAGTACAGACATGAGATCAGGTAGATCCAGTAATTGACTCCATGGTGACTAGGTGCTTCTTGAGCCATCCACGTACAGACAAAATAAAGAAAAACTACAATGCACAGTACATGTATATGGCATCAGTGAGTTAAATTTCTCTAAGTGTGAATGTGACAGCTGTTTGTGAAATAACTTTACTCTAGCTTACAATGTTTTTCAATGGCACTTTGATCTCATGTGAAATAAGACATTAATATTATCTACAGATCATATCTAAGTAAAATAAAAAGTTCTATCAACAAAGTTATTATAAAAAGTAAAGATTCTGTGTAACACTGTACTGAATATACATTTCCTATACTGATTTCTACAATTCATGACAAATACATAACCTTTGGAAAAAATGGTGACAATCACAGTTGCAACAGTATGTAACACTGCCAACCTTTAGTGGAATAAAATCTGACAACTTTATAGCACCTTATGGCTAATTATCAAAACTTATTTTATTTACACAAAACCCCCAGAAAAGAAATGGAATACTGCACTTTTAAAAGGTTCCTTGTAAATATAAATTAATTTGCATGAGTTTTCCATTTCAGCAATAAAAATATACACATGCGATAATGAACTTTTTATCTACAGAATTCATCATAAACTTCTAAATGAAATATATATTATTTCATTATTTGATCTTTTATCTACAATAACCATTTACACAATACATTATCACTAGCCCTTTAGGCCAAAGAACTAAATGTTGATAAAATAATATAGCCTGAATATATGAAAAAAAGAACAAGAAAAGGAAAACAAACACTGTCCATAGGATAATGGGGGATGAAACTACTGATCTAAAATATATATATATAAATATGGAGCTCTTAGGTGTTTGTCTTTTTTTCATTTGTCTTTTTATCATACTGCGCATAAGTGGGTCTGCCCCCTGCTAATTCCAAGAGGTATCGGTCAGGGTTGTCCACCCAGTCTACTGTGTTAAGATTAACCTTCCTCCTGTTTTCAGAGTCCCTCACCTCCCGTTTCTTCTGCTCCATCTGTGCCTCTCTGAAGGAAAGAATGAAGAACTTACACAGGAGGGAATGTAAATGGCATATTATTTATATCACAATAACCTCTATTCAACTTGTGAGAAAATCAAAAGTAATATATAACATATAACCTACATGCTACATACATATGCACATGCACATATGCACAAATGCACCCACACAGACACAGACACCCACACCCACACCCACACCCACCAAAATTATAAGAACAATATATTTCGAAACACTCAGTCACTCACGCTCTCTTTCACTAATTACCTGGATAAATCCAAGTACACATATTCAAACAGGGCATAGAACACAATCAGGTAAAATGCTTACTTAGCTTCAGTAGTTCCACAACCCCATGCTTCTATGGAAAACAACTTGTAAGGTATTCTGCGATAGGTAACTAAACTGAGGTTCAAGTCCATAGTCAAAGCACGGTTTGTACTGTCAGTTCCAATGTGGATGCCTGTCGGAAACCCCCTTGACGTTATGTTGAAGTACATCATCTTTGGTCCACCTAATCAAAAGAAAAGAATGCTTAGGAGCTATGATTTTTGTTTATGAATATCCATATTGGCATTAGACATCAGAAACTAAATACCAGCACAAAACAAATAAAGTAGGCCTTACTTTCAATAACTTTGTATTCGGGAGTAAGATGCATGCAAAGACAATGATCAGATCCCCAAAAGTGCTTTGAATCTCTCCAGGCTTCGTCACTCGCAAGGCAGAACATATTTCCTCCTTCTGCTGTTATGAACATCAGTGTAGGCCCATTGTAGCCAAACACATGGTGCTGGAATCTGTGTCAAGAAATGAAACGATAAAATGCCTCATCATTAGCGTTATAATAACTAATAACTAATAACTAATAAAGTATCTATTCAAGAAGGTATCTATTCATACACATCTACCAAACTGTTTTAGTCAAAATGCTATCCATAAGAGAACAAGCTGAATAAGCTCATAATGCTGGTGTTTTCCTTCTGTTCCTTCTGTTTGAAAGATGAGTGTTCTGGCAACAAATTATCTCCATTATGAAAAAAAAAAAAAAAAAAAAAAAAAAAACTCTTGGACAACAATACAGTAGTGTGATTTAAAATTGAAATTGAAATCACTATGAAAAGACATACACATATAATTTGATCTAACTGATATCTCTGTACTGAAATAAAGTATGTAATAAATTACCTGTTAATGCTGAGGCCATGGTTGTCACTATTATAGAGAGGAACCCAATGTGTAGGACTTACTGCAGAAATCTGTATGACAGAAAAGTACTATCACTACAATGCTAACAGTATCGGAATAAATAAGATGGTAAAAATGGGCAACATAATCTACATATGGTTGTCACTGATACACAAAGGAATCCAGTGTGTAAAACTTACAGAAAAGTACTGGTGGTATGAATGAGGATATATATGAATATAACTCAACCTACAAGAACAAGAACAAGAAAAGAAAAAAGAGAGAGAAAAAAAAAAGAAAGAAAGAAAGAAAAAAAGAAAGAAAGAGAGAAAGAATCTTCTGACTGAGTTACAACCAGACCTGAGCAGATATCTCACCATTCTATCAATGAAGATGTGTGGATCAAGTAAGAGAGAATTGGAGGCAGGGAGACTCTTCTGTTGTTTGCTGTAGAGGGTTGGCAGGGTGCAGGTCAGCAGCCAGATCAAAGCAGGGTGTAATGTGATACAGGATGACTTGTTGGGACAGTCTAGGATAGGTGTATCTGTGTCATCCTGCAGAAATAGAAGGTAACGTAAATGAAGAAACCTCTTAACATCAACTATTTTTGTCTCTTGACCATATAAAGTGTTTATTTATTCAATATTTGTTTTCCTAATACAAGTCCTTTTTTTCAATTATCTACACCATCTAGCATCCATGGCAGCAAAATTATTCACACTATTAGCAGATAAGCATATCATAACAACATGGAGGAAGAAACCAAAAAGAGACACTGAAATAACACTAAAAATATAAAGACAATACAAAAGCAATTCTTGGAGTCAGACCTCATCTTCATTAGTGTTATCAGGGATGGTGCGGTGACCCACTGTCAGCATGTGTGTGATGTACTTATGGACCCACATGACCAGGCGGGGGCAGTTGTGCGAGACCCAGCTATGCAGGTACTTCTTGCTCACGCTCTCCTTCCCGTGCATCTGATGGGAGAATTTGATGTTAATTTATTTATTCATGTAATTCTTTTCTGGCATCAAATGTGATGAACTCCTTTATTCTAAAAACTTGTAAATAAAATGAGATATCTGCAAGTATTTTTTTTTCTTAATAGGATATTGCCCCTAGCTAAAAAAGAAATGTACATATTCCAATATTTGATAAGTAATTAAATCATGAAAGATATCATACCACGAGACACACAACTAACAATATAAAAGGCAAGGACAAGGACACATCGTATTATATAATGTTGACAAATAACCATGTGACACTGGCAGTCATAGTAACTGTTAACATGTGTATCTGCATTGACCTTAATATAAGAATAGATAAGGGTTATTGCCAATATTTTTCTAGTCAGTGATGAAAACTGATGAAATATCAGAGTAAAAGAAGGAAAATTGTAATCATATTGTATCTACTAAGTGAATGTACTAACTATGATTGCATCTTTTACCAGTACAGTCCCCTCCACTTCCAATCTCAGCATTCAACCCTGAACTGGTAGTTCTGTCTCTTGTAACAAAAAACATCTCAATACAAATAGGGGTACTTGCTTCTAGCCTAATAAAAAATGATGATTATGGTTTAATACACCCACACCCAAAGAAAATCTTAAAAGAATTCAAGCTGAGAATCTAATACTAACTGCTGCTTTAACAACTGCCATCAAAATATCATCAGGAAGGCAGCATGTTTGATGAGCAACTTTGCTTATATGGTAGGCAGCAAAGACTAGTTCATATAAATCTCCTTGACTGATCTTTTCCTCGTCTCCAGCAAACACCTGCAAATGAGAAGAGTTTTTACTTTACACATTTTCCATGGAGCTTTGACAGCAAGGTCAGAAAGTCATATCATCATGTCATCTATCATATAATAGGGTTTTAATCTTCTCTATGATGTCAAAAGAAGAAAAATACAAGAAAAAAAATCCTTCAGAACTTATATGATAATATCATGAAAGATATCAATATTAAATAGCATTAACCATTTATTTCTATAACAACTTATTCTTTTTACAGTACATACTTAAAAGGAGAAGAAAAATCTAGCATAAAGTCTATCCCAATGATACAAAACAAAACTTAGTCTTCCCAGACCTGAATGTAGAACTCCAACTGTTCACTATCCGACAGGAGTCCCAGAATATAGTGTGAAGATGCTAAGAATGCAGACTTAGACAACAGATCCCCAAAGTTCGCTTTCTCTTGGACTTCATTGCTTGAGTTCTCCTGCTGCCAGTGTTTAACCAGGTGCTGGAACAGCCTGTGACCAAGTGGTTTGTTGGCCTTACAAATATATTTCTGGAAAGGAGTCTGCTGTCAGGGAAATGTTAAAGGGATTTCATCCTTTCCAATGAATTTAACAGAATGAATCAGTGTATAGTGCTGCCTGAAGTATGGGATAAATCCTTCATCTTAAAAGACTGAATTTCTTTTGAAACTAACAATAATGGAAAGAAGAAAATCAGTCAATTGTGAATTTCATATATCATCCTACAACATGCAACAAACTTACAAGGACAATGACTTACAAGGAATACATTTTCAGTAATGCCATCTATATTATCTTCAGCCAGAGACTTTTGCACAAGAATCTGAAACAAGAAAAAGGTAGATAATTACTTTAAACAGTAATTTTAACAGTATTTGACTGTGAAAAAGGAAACAGAAGGGTCTGAAATATCATATAGGCATGATTAATAAAATTTGAAGACGGATATAGCAGCTTGCTACCTAATGAAACACTATTTTTATAAAAAAAAATAGTAATAAATAAGTTTGAAATAACATCATCAAGAGTAGATTCATACCTCTGACTTCATTTTCCAAAGACTGAGCCTTTTCTAAATTACTAGCACAGATATCCTCAATTTGTATCTAGGTCTTTACAGTGTTTTCTGACAATACACAAACTACACTCAAGATAGCAGATCACATATGTCCTTCCTGACCAAACCTCACACTTTCATGATCCAACAGAGAGACCTTCCGTAACCCAAGCTCCCGCCACTGAATATGAAATGCCAGAGGGTGGAGTCATCAGTGTCATGGTCCTCCTCCATTAGCCAAATCCATGGCCTCAAGGTGGATGGAGGTCACCTTTTTCCCTGTGTGGTCAGCATAGGTCATTCTGGACTTACCAATCCTCGATGCAGCAGATCTAGACCTAGCATTTAGAATTCATCCACAATCCTAGTGCCATCCCTTTGTCTAGGACACCCAGATCACACCTAGCCCTTACACTCATTCCTAAGGAAAGCATAAAATCTAGCTTTGTCTTTTACTTGGCTTTTAATTTACTATTCAATGCCCCATAACTTATTCTTTCTCTTTACATGCTTGTCTAGAACAATGAACAAGTATTTGTAGGGAAAAACTGATTCAACAGATAATATTAAATGCAAAGATGAATTTTAGACCATTATCTGCAGCAACTATAATACAAGCACTATTTAACTCCTAGTAGTCTATATGCATTGATTAATGTCTAACATGTTTACATAGTTAGTCCTATGTGAGTTGTCAAAAAATGGCAGGATGTCTTCTTATCTCATTTTTGATGTGACTGGGTCATGCTTCACCCACTGTCCTATGCATCCTTTCCTTTCCTGTGACCTTATCCCCTCCCTCTTGGGCTTAGAAGTATAAGGCTGGTTGTCTGCCTTTATTTTGTTATGAATATATAATGACATACACATAATGTGACATAGAAGTGAGCAAGTGACAGACAATGTACTATCACAATCATATTGAATAATCATAGATGCTAGGTGACACCTATTCATACTATGGGTCTGTCTCAACTACTGGAATAAGGCCCTGCACACCCTACCGTGATGCTGACAATCACCCAGGCACAGTGCAACAGATTAAGTTAGGCTCATGCTCACTCAAATGATGATGTAAGAATAAGAGGGATAAGGGGTTACCAATGGTATAATTTACTGACACACCTTTGACAGGGCATCCTAAAGCTTTCGAAATGACTGATACTTGATCAGCTATTGACAATCAGACATATTCTTTCTTCTACAATAAGCAGATGAAAAAAATGGATCAAAGCATGAACTGCAAGCCTTTATCTAGATACTGTTTCATCTCCCAGTGTGAATTTAATGATGATACGATAAAGGAGAATCACCTGTTAAATGAGTCTTTCCTTGTACCTGTTTTATTTATGATGGGGTAGAATACAGACATAATGGAGGATTATTGGAATGCTAATGATGAAAGTAATAGTAATAACCAATAACAATGAAACAATTATATCAGTAAGAAAATCAAGTAACAGTATATGTAATAAAACAAGGCTATGTAAGAACTCTAAAGTGCTTCAAAATATTTATACAGAACATCTTAAGAGTTGTACAGGTTTCATTGTTTTCACTAGATATTCTAATGAAAAACAAAAATAAATAAATAAATAAAACTATGTGGAAATGAGTTACAGCACAATGAAAATCAACTGTTTTTGTGCTGTACATTTGGATGCCATGTGCTTTTTGTCTTTCAAAAGGGTTTTTCATCAGACTCGTTTATATATACAAGAGGATATTTTCAAGCAACTTCACAATCTTGATAAATCTAAGATCACATTTTACCACACTGACCATGATGCCAATACTGATAAAACTAGTAGCTTTTATCAATGGTGAGTGCCCATCAGAAGCTAGGAGGTGCAACATATTCACTAGGGAAATTACAGGGAAAAATTATAAATACCTCTGCAAATAATTATGATGTATCAAGATTCTTATTTTGCAGTCATGGGACAGGCAATGTGAAGAGTTTGCACCACCTCTGGTATCTTCCAGCAAGATGGAATCCAAAGAATAATGTACTACTTTGTAATATTAGGTAATTATGGAAATGTAGCACCTTTCAGATAAATACTGGTCCATTTTAGAGGTGCCTCTTACATGGCAAATAATGATCTTGCCGCCCATCTCATTCATGTTTCCATACATACTCAATTCACAAACTGATTTCCAGAGACTTCCAGATCTAGATTATGTTGGGGATATTCTAGCCAACAAATGAGGGTTATTTCTAATATATCCACCCAAAACTTGGCTAAACATGACAGCTAATATCAGTGTAGGAACTACACACGTGATTAATGCAAGTACTGGTGCCTAGCTCTGGGTATTCATCTACAATAGTATCAGTTATCTAACAGTATAATGAGAGTTAGCAGATATATGCATTTTAATAATGTTTTCTGAAATTATCTGATGGACTGCTCAGGTTCCACCTTTCTAAATCAAACTATGGTGGTAATTTTGTAAACTAGAATGATGGGTAAGGAGGATGGCATAATTATAATCATGTTTATATAGGAGTGAGGCTAAATACCATATCTATGTCTAATTTCCACAATCATTCGACCTATTATTATACATTTAGTATTATATATATATATATATATATATATATATATATATATATATATATATATATATATATATATATATATATATATATATATATATATATATATATATATATATATATATATATATATATATATATAAACATATGATTTACAGCACAATTTTCCTGGTATGCTTTGTACCCTTCCTAACTAATAGGACCATTACTGTCACTATAGTTGGCTGCCACTAACTAAACCTACTAAAGATGAACAACATATATCATAAGTAATCCTTCAATACCAGTTTTGTCAGCTTTATCAGAGAAATAGCAAATAAATGACTAAATCTATAAGATGGACACTGGTTTATGCAATTAACACATTTTTTTTTACAAATAAATCTAATTCCTGAAGTTCTTGTAATTATACATTTCTTTCTTTTAGCACCTCCCTATCTTCTGTGGTTAAAATTCCCCTATTCCTTATACTATAGTAATTCTACGATCCTACGGCTTGAACCTACGCAAAATATCGTCGTTTAAAAATACTGTACAACATTATTTAGACCTGGCTTACTATTATACCTCTAACGTCATACAAAATCTCCTCTTACCTTTGCTAATTTCACGAGGAAATCCGGGGGGTCTTCGCCAGAGCTCCCTCCATTGCCTGCCCATCGCCTGCCTCCCTGGTGGGTCTTTTTCGCTGATTTTTCGACGGCATTTTGGAATTCCGAGGCGTTGCTGTTCCCCATCATCAAGTTCCTGAGTGTTGTTGTGGTGTAGGCCAGGTATAGGTACTGGGACCCGGGGCACTTGCGCGTTGGCGGAGACATCCGAGCATCGGCTTTGGGACTTCGGAATGGCTTTAGGATTTTCTTGCAGCGATCCATTGTCTTAGGGAAGGTCGTCGAAGGTCATTGAGTTGGGCGGAATTAAGTTTTCTGCTCAGTAGGTTTGCTAGGATATAAGAGACATGTTAATAGTTACATATTAAATACGTCGTGCGATCTATAAAAGATCCAATCCTCTATATCCCAACCATGCATTTCGTCTATGAAAATCAGCTGTTTGATAAAAACAACAAATGTTTTCTTTCAAATTTGTCTCTCTTTCTCTCTTCCCTTCACGATAGAAAAGAGCTCGCAAATATCGAATTTCGCATAGAAGTAACCCATATAATACACATCACCAGAAGAGCCATAACACGCTGTCTCCGCGAAGCACGTGACTAGAAATCTCCACAAGGTAAACGCTTTGAATATCAATTAAAGGGCTCCTGGGCATGGCGTCCTCCTCTCGACTTATTTCCCTGTCAGAGCGACGGAGGAAGCGTTCCTGCAAGCGTATATGAATATCACAATGCTCCTTGTAAAGCCATAAATACCACAAAGTGCACCAAGAGATACCAGTCTAAGACGTGTGACAGAAGAGGAAGTGAGTGACCTTTTACTGGGTAACTGTGTCAAGGTGAGCCAGGTGTGGACTCTCGGTCTTCCTCTTTTATGTTTGTCACCTTTTCTTGGTTCTTCTTGTCTCCTTCCATCCTGGTTTGCTCTTCTTACCCGATTTTTGTCTCTTCTGCAATTCTCTGTTTTCCTCTTCATGTTTCTTATATATTCTCCCTTAGTTCCCTTTCTCTGTCTTCTTTTCTTGTTTTCCACTTCTCTTCATTCATGACATCTCTCTTCTTCTTTTCTCTTTGCCTTCTTCATCCTTCTCTTCCTTAGTATTCTTTCTTCATCTCCCTTTCTATGTCTGTCTCTCTCTTTCATATTCTTTCATTCCCTCCTTTTCCTTTTTCATTTATTATTCTGCTTTTTGTCTCTTAATTTGGTTTTCCTCTTCTCAGGCTTCTGTTTTATATCTTCCAATTGCCTCTCTTTTTCTTTATTCCTCTCTCTCTCTCTCTCTCTCTCTCTCTCTCTCTCTCTCTCTCTCTCTCTCTCTCTCTCTCTCTCTCTCTCTCTCTCTCTCTCTCTCTCTCTCTCTCTCTCTCCCCCCCCCTCCCTCCCTCCCTCCCTCTCCCTCTCTCTCCCTCTCTCCCTCTCTCCCTCTCTCT